TGAGCCGATGAGGCCGCTGGAGCCGCTGAGGCCGATGGAGCCGATGAGGCCGATGAGGCCGATGAGGCCGATGGAGCCGCTGGAGCCGCTGGAGCCGATGAGGCCGATGAGGCCGATGGAGCCGATGAGGCCGCTCAAGCCGCTGGAGCCGATGAGGCCGCTCAAGCCGCTGGAGCCGATGAGGCCGATGGAGCCGCTGGAGCCGTTGAGGCCGATGGAGCCGATGGAGCCGATGAGGCCGATGGACAAGCCGATTGTCAGGCCGATGGACCAGGCGCGCCACAATGCAAAGCACCCATGCTCTGAAAGTGGCGCTTGGCGCCGCAGATAAATCCTATGCAGTATTGCCAGTATAAAGAGAGTTGCAGGTTACAGCTACATGTATCGAGACACCTTAACCCATTCCACCCTGCCTACATGCACAAGAAATGGTGCCGCAAAATCGACGCCAACCGTCAATGGCACGGGAGGCACACCACAGGGAGGGGAGGGGGAAGATCTCATATGGGGGCAGTATATGGGACCCATCCCATGGCAGGGGAGGGGGGGTGGCAGGGCCTGGTGCATTATATGTGTGCGTGCTGGTGGGGATCAATTAAAAAAAAACGCACATGCAAGCGTAAAGTGGCAGATGTAAATATGCAGGTAGAAATCAGCTTCGCAAAGCACCTACAATTTCAAAAGGTTTTTCTCAATTTTCTCTGAGGGCTGCAGGCCAGCGTGGATTGATGTCCACGAAACGCAACCCTCTCGAACGAAATGTCGAAGTGAAGTTGCGGTATGGGTTTGAGCCGGGCCGACCCTTTCCCACGAAATGCGTCTCGATCCTCGAAAACTGCCGAAAATGCGGTTTTGCGTAGCCCCTCTGCGTTTCAATCGTCAAAGCTGCGGTGAAGTTAGGTTTTTTGTTTGCGTTTGGATGGTTTTGCCTAGATCCTCTTGCAATAAATGCGTTGCGGTCGTTGAAAAAAAACAAAGGTGAAATTGACACTTTATTTGCGCCCGCAAAACCCTTTGGCACAAAATGCGTCTAGATCATCAAGAGCTGTGGTGAAATTCTGGTTTTGCACCTGTTTGCTGAACTCTTCCGCGCGGAATTGGTGTCCGCCGTCGGATTTCATGTAAAAGTATGTCTGTGTAAAAATGTCCGTATGTAAAAGCTCCTCGTGTAAATGCCTCCTTTGTACAAGCACCTCTGTTTGTAACGGCATCTGTGCGCAAAGTTCCTCAGCGCAAAACTATCTCTGTGTGTGAAAGCATCTCCGTGCAAGAAGATCTCTGCGTAAAAGTATTTTTGTGTGAAAATATCTCTGTGTACAAGCATGCGCGTTGAAAGACATCCTTGTGAAAGAGCATGCGTGCGTGCATGTGTGAGACAGCACCTGTATCTAAAAAACATCACCGTGCAAAAGTATTTGTGTGTAAAAGACTTGTCAGTGTGTGTCAAAGTATGTCTGTGTAAAAGTACTTGCAGATAAAAGAATCTCTGCGCAAAAGAACTTGTATGTGACAGCACTGCGTAAACGTATTAGTGCGTACAAACGAGTGTGTGTAAAAGCATATCTCTTTAAAGCCACCTGTGTGTAAACGTGCCTGCGTCTAAAACTTTCTCTTTGCAAAATCGTCTCCGTGTAAAAGAATTTGCCTCCTCAAGCACCTGTGTGTAAAGACATCTGTGTTGAAAGGATCTCTGTGTAAGAGCACCTGCGTGTAGAAGCGTCCCTTTGTAAAATCATTTCTTTTTTCAAACCATCTCTGTGCGAAGGCCCTGTGTAAGAGCACTTGTGTGCAAAAGCATCTCCTTGCAAAAGCCTGACTTGCGTGTAAGCATACAGGTGAGGTTGGATGGCAGCCTCAGTCCAAAATGGCTTGAACCCTCCCGTAAATCGCGTGCCCAACCTCACCCATGCAAAAGTTCCTCTGCCTAGCAGCGTCCTAGTTCTAAAAGCGCCTGTGTGTAAAAGCACCTCTGTGTAAAAGTATCCGTGCAAAACACCTCTTTGTAAAAGTATCTGTGGATGGTCTGTGTTTCAAAAACACCTCTGTATAAATGTATTTGCGCGTTAAAAAAATCCGCGTAAGAGTGTTTGTGCAAAAGCTTCTCTGTGCAAAGGATACTCTGTGTCGAAAGACTTCCTGTGTAAAAGCACATGTGTGTAAACGTTCCTCTGTGTAAAAGCATTGCTATGTAAAGGCATCTGTGTGTATAAGCACCCGCGTGTCTGTGTGCAAAAGCTCCTTTGTGTAAAACCATCCCTGTGTAACAGCACCTGTGCGTAAAGGTAGCTGCGCGTAGAAGCATCCCCGAATAAAAGCATCTTTAAGTGCAAACGTCTGTGTGTAAAAGCATGTCTTTGTGAAAAACATCTCTCTGTAAAGGCACCCGTGTATAAAAGCATCCCTGTATATAAGCCATCCCTCTGTGTAAAAGCATCTGTGTGCAATATTTTGGTCATGCGGTGTTGGAATCTCTAAGCCGCAAAATATTTGCGCAAAAATCCTCTGTTTTGCAGCAGCAGCGCGAAGCTAACATCTGCATAATTTGGAATCATATCTGTTATATCTGAAAGCTGCGTTGTAACTTTACAGCTTTCAGAATCAAAAAACCTGTACACTGCAAAATGCTTGCAGCGTTCCGAAACCAAAAACTATAACTTGCACATACTAACATACTGGGGCAAAATGCATTCCATCGCATGGTGTCTGAATTATGTTGTAACTATCACTTGCAAACCGCACGGCACGCGCAGCATTTTGAAATTGACGCCTGAAAGTTGGATGCTACTTTGCAGCTTGCTGAAGCTCAAAGCTGCAAGCCGAACTGTATCTGCAACATGTTGGAATTATCATCTGCACATTGCACATACTGGCATGGTGTTTGCTGTAAAATCTATAAGCTGCACGGTGGTTACCACATTTTGAAACCGAAACCTGCAAATCGCGCGGAGCTTGCAGCTGTTTGAAAGTAACATGTGTACATTGGAAGGTGCACGCAACATCTTGGAGCTAGGCGGTTGTTTCTTGCTTCCTGTCGTCCTTCCTTCCTCGGAATTATTTCCTTCCTTCCTGTTTGTTTTTTATGCATTTTTCTTTTGAGACATCTGCGTGAGAGACGCTAGCGTACAGTAGCATGCAGACAGTACATCAACTCCTCTAGTGCGGTGAGCAGCCCACAGCCCTGGTTGCTGCGTGGCATCAGGAATTGTTCGGAATTTAGTTGTTTCAGTAGGAGCATCATGGCAAGTACGCTAACTAATTCCGAACATAGGTTAACATCCGTCCCGACCCCGGCCTCACCCAAGCCTGCAAAACGCAACCGAATTGACATCGTGATCATCATTATCATCCTCCTCCTCATCATCATCGTCCTCCTTCTCATCATCATCATCATCATCATCATCATCGTCATCATCCTCATCCTCATCCTCATCATCACCATAATCATCATCATCCATACCACCAACTCCATCACCATCACCATCATCATCACCGCCATCCTCCTTTTACCCTCATCATCCTCATCATCATCATCATCATGATCATCATTGCGTCGCCGTCATCATCATAATCAGCTATCATGATTGTCAGCATGACAACGGATAGAACCGTTACAATTACTTGAGGCATGGTGTGACCAACCCAGAAAACACCCTCAAGATTTGAGCAACACGCAGGGAAACGCCCCCGAGACACAACCAACCGACCACCCGCACAACCGCCTCGACACCACCAACATGACGCCACCAAACTACGACCAAGACACCGCGAACACCTTGCATCAGCATCGAAACTGCTGAGGCACCACCAAGGCAACACCGAGTTACCAGCGAGGCACCACCTGGACACCATGAAGGCACCACTGAGGCACCATCAAAAGAGCACAACGCCATGCAGACACCTTCCAGACGCCACCGAAAGACTACCAAGACATCACTGAGACATCACCAATACACCACCAAAACACCACAGTGACACCACGAAGACATCAAGATTGGCGTGCCAACCCTGATTGCCATCAAGGCAACCAAGTCATCACCAAGTCATCACCAAGACATCACCAAGACATCACCAAGACACCAACTCCACAAACACCACCAAGACACTACTGAGACACCATCGAACCAGTAGGGAAAAACCAGCAAGAAAGCAGCAAGAAAGCAGCAAGAAAGCAGCAAGAGACCAACAAGAGACCAGCAAGAAACCAGCAAGAGACCAACAAGAGACCAGCAAGAAACCAGCAAGAGACCAACAAGAGACCAGCAGCAACCAGCCAGAGACCACAGAGAGAGACTACCAAGACACGACCGAGACACAAACAAGACACCATAGAGACACCACGTACATACCACGTAGAAACCACCGAGACACCACCAAGACACCACCAAGGTACCAACGAGACACCACCGAGACACCACCGTCGAGACACCACAAAGATACCACCGAGACCCCTACCAGTCCACCACCGAGACACCACCGAGACACCACCGAGACACCACCAAGATACCACCGTGACACCACCGAGACACCACCGAGACACCACCAAGACACCGAGACACCACCACCGAGACCCCCTACCAGTCCACCACCGACACACCAGCGAGACACCACCAAGATACCACCGCGACACCACCGAGACACCACCACCGAGACCCCTACCAGCCCACCACCGAGACACCACCAAGATACCACCGAGACACTACCGAGACACCACCGAGACACCACCAAGACACCACCAAGATACCACGGAGACACCACCGAAACACCACCGAGACACCACCACGACACCAGCAAGACACGAGACCCCTACCAGTCCACCACCGAGACACCACCGAGACACCGAGACACCGTCCAGGCCGGCAGCCGTGAACCCGACGGCAACCGACCGCCTTTAGAGTTAACAACCCCAAGCTATCGCTAGTGGGGAAAAGCCTCTAAATCTTGGCAGAAGAACGGATTTGATCCTTTCATGACCTTTTCATACCTCGCCCTTGCTGTTGCAGGAGCGGGCGCGTTTCATTCCCTTTCTGGCCCGGATCATTTGGCAGCTTTAGCGCCACTTGCCTTGCGCACATCTGGACCTGGAAGAGCTTTTCGTCAAGGCAAAGATTCTTCTGGATTCAAAGTATTCAGAGTAAGTTTGTACTTGACCGTGTAAATGCAGAGTGGTTGAAATTGAGTGATTTTTTGTTTGGAAATTCCCTCAAGAAAAACGCGTGGACGAAGCTGCTGCATATGCTTTTCAATTTCGCCGTGTGCAGGTGCATTTTGGGGTTTTGGTCATGTCCTCGGTCAAGTGCTGATTGGGAGCCTAGCCTGCATTCGCATTTCGCTTTGTTGACGACTGGATGAGGATGCCATGGCTCATCAAGGAGTCATGCATGACTCACCCATGACTTATCCATGTTTCATGATGTCAGGACAAGCTTCTTGCTTCTCAGCCAGAGTCAGCTTCTGCAAAGCCTTGGGCATGCAAAGAATTTCGCGCAGTTGGCAGAGCAATTCGCTTCTGTGGCTGTCGGCATCATCCTCATGACAGGGTTGTGTTGTCGAGAGAGCGCTGATATGCACAGCACTTGACAGTATCTTTGGTTCCTCCCCCACACCGGGGTCTATTGTCGAGACTATCTTTTCTGCTTGGGATCGCTTTTGTCAGGTTAGAGTTATGTGCAAAATAGATTGAAAAATGTTACTTTCTTTGTGTTGTGTATTTGTTTTGTGTTTTGTTTCTCTAATCTAATCTACCTAATCTATCTTTCGATGTGTTTATCAATCAATCAATCTATCTATCTATCTATCTGTCTATCCATCTATCTATCTATCTATCTATCTATCTATCGACCCATCTACCTATCCAACGAATCTCATCTATTTATTCATTTGTTTGTCTGTCTGTCTATCCATCTAAGCTAAGCTAATCTAATCCAATCCAACCTATCTGATCTGTCTAATCTATCTAATCTATCTAGCCGATCTTTTCTATCTGATCTATCTAAGCTGTGTGGCATTCAGCGTGGCATTCAGTCGGATTCACCCCTTGACCAAGTGCCTGGATTGCTGCCCCTGGTAGCCTAATCTTAGCTTCCGATTAATAAAACCATAATATAAAACCCCTCAAAAATATATAATGTTCGGGCTGAGCCTCATTCTTCTGTTGTATTCGTTTTCAATTGCGCCCCTTTACTTTTAGTATCTGGCATTGAAACAATACAGAAGGAACAAATCCGGAGATCAATTTTGAAACAATATATATATAACATATATAATGGAAAAAAATGAGATCAGTCCTAAAACAAAATATAGGGACAAAAAAAATTGAAATCAGTCCTGAAACAATATATAGGGGGAAAGAAAAACCTTAGATCAGTCCTGAAACAATACATCGGGGAAAAAAAACTGAGATCAGTCCTGAAACGATGTGTAGGGACAAAAAAATCCTGAGCTCAGTCCTGAGAATCTTGAGATCAGTCCTGAAACAATACATAGGGTTGACGTTGCCTTTTGCCCGGATGTCAAAAAGCATTGTTGTGAATCTGTGCCAAATGGGGGTCTGAAACTGGTCTGAAACCGTTGAGAAGCCCCATCTGGGCCTCCGGGCACCAGGTTCTGCCCTGAAAATGGACAATTGCTTCTGTTCAGGGGCCACCGACCTTTTCATGGCAGAACTTGGTGCCCAAGTGGCAATCGGAGGCTCAGATGGGGCTTCTCGAGGGTTTCGGACCAGTTTCAGATCCCGTTTGGGCACAGAAACAAAATTCACAACAATCCTTTTTTGGCATCCGGGCAAAAGACAACGGCAAACCTATATATTGATTCAGGACTGATCTTAGGATTTTTCCCCTTATATATTGTTTCAGGACTGATTTCAAGATTTTTTGTTCCCCTATATATTGTTCAGGACTGATTTAATGATTTTTTTCCCCGATATATTGTTTCAGGACTGATCCCAGGTTTTTTCCCCTATATATTGTTCAGGACTGACCTCAGGATTTTTTCCTTTCTGTTTTGTTTCAGGACTGATCTCAGGATTTTTCCCCCCATATTTTGTTTTAGGACTGATCTCAGGATTTGTTTCATATATTGATTTAAAACTGATATTAGGATGGAACCTCCAAAAAACACCCAAAAACTTGAAGTTCCACCTTGGACCCAAACAGGTGTTGTGTGTATGTATGTCTGTATGTATGTATGTATGTTTGTATGCTTGTATGTTTGTATGTTTGTTATGTATGTATGTATGTATGTATGTACGTACGTATGTATGTATGTATGTGTGTATGTATGCATGCATGCATGCATGCATGTATGTGTGTATGTGTGTATGTATGTATGTACGTACGTAGGTACGTACGTCCGTATGTATGTATGCATGTATGTAGGTATGTATGTATGTATGTATGTAATGTATGTACGTAATGCTTGTAATGCATGTAATGTATGTAATGTATGTAATGTATGTAATGTATGTAATGTATGTAGTCTATGTATGCATGTACGTATGTAATGTATGTAATGTGTGTAATGTATGCAATGGTATGTAGGTATGTATGTATGTATGTAATGCTTGTAATGCATGTAATGTATGTAATGTATGTAACGTATGTATGTATGTATGTATGTATGTATGTACGTATGTAATGTATGTAATGTGTGGAATGTATGCACTGGTATGTAGGTATGTAGGTCTGTATGTATTTATGTATTTATGTATGTATGTATGAATGTATGGAATGTATGTGTGTATGTATGTATGTATGTATGTTTGTATGTTATAATGTACGTATGCATGTATGTATGTATGTATGTGTGTATGTGTTTATGTATGTATGTGTGTATGTATGTGTGTGTATGTATGGCAAGGTATGGTATGGTATCGTATCGTGTGGTATGGTATGTATGTATGTATGGTTTGTATGTTGGTATGTATGGTATGTTTGGTGGTATGTATGGTATGTATGTTGTTATGTATGTTGTTATGTATGGTATGTATTCAATGTATGAAATGTATGGTATGTATGTAATGCATGTAATGTATGTGAAGTATGGAATGTATGTGCAGTATGGAATGTATGCAATGTAAGTAATGCCATGTATGTAATGTATGTAATGTATGTAATGTTTGTATTGTAATGTTTGTAGGGTAATGTATGTATTGTAAGGTATGCAGTGTAATGTTTGTATTTTAATGTATGTATTGTAATGTATGTATTGTAATGTATTTATTGTAATGTACGTATTGTAATGTATGTTTTGTAATGCGTGTATTGTAATGTATGCATTGCAATGGATGCATTGTAATGTATGCATTGTAATGTATGCATTGCAATGTATGCATTGCAATGTATGCATTGTAATGTATGCATTGTAATGTATGCATTGTAATGGATGTATTGTAATGTATGCATTGTAATGTTGCATTTCGGTTTTTTTGCATTGCAATGTATGCAATGTAATGTATGTATTGTAATGTTTGCATTGTGATGTATGCATTGCAATGTATGCATTGCAATGTATGCATTGTAATGTATGCATCGTAAAATATGCATTGTGATGTATGCATTGTAATGTATGCATTGTAATGTTTGCATTGTAATGTATGCATTGTAATGTTTGCATTGTAATGTATGTATTGTAATGTATGTGTTGTAATGTATGTATTGTAATGTATGTATTGTAACGTATGTATTGTTATGAGTGTATTGTAAGGTATGTATTGTAATGTTTGTATTGTAATGTATGTATTGTAATGTATGTATTGTGATGTATGTATTGTAATGTAGGTATTGTAATGTATGTACTGTTATGTGTGTATTGTAATGTCTGTATTGTAATGTATGTATTGTAATGTATGTATTGTAATGTATGTATTATAATGTATGTATTGTAATGTATTTATTGTAATGTATGTTTTGTAATGGAAATGTAATGGTAATGTAGTGTTCATGTAATGTTATGTAATGCTGTGTAATGTTTTGTATTGTTATGTATTGTTCTGTGTTGTTTTGTATTGTTTTGTATTGGTATACATTGTGTACTGTTTTGTATTGCCATGTACTGCTTTGTACTGTTAGGTACTGTTTCGTATTGTTTTGTTTGTATGTATAAATGTATGCATGCATGTATGCATGTATGCATGTATTTATGTATGTTATGTATGTTTTGTTTGTTATGTATGTTTTGTTTGTTATGTATGTTATGTATGTTATGGTATGGTACGGTTGTTATGTATGTTATGTATGTTGTGTATGTAATTTTTGCTATGTATGTTATGTATGTTTTGTTTGTTATGTACGTTATGTGAAATATGTATGTTATGTATGTGATGTATGTAATGGATGTAATGTATGTACTGTATGTAATGTATGTAATGTATATAATGCATGTAATGCATGTAATGTAATGTTTGTATGCTCTGTATGTTATGTATGTTATGTATATGCTGTATGTTTTGCATAATTTGTATGTCATGTATGTAGTGTATGCAATGTATGTAATGTAATGCAATGTAATGTAATGTAATGCAATGTAATGTAATCTAATGTAATGTAATTGAATGTAACGTACTGAAATGCAATGTATATAATGTAGTGTAATGTAATGTAATGTAGTGTAGTGTCATGTATGTAATGTGTTGTAGTGTAATGCAATCTAATCTAATCTAATGTATTGTGTTGTAATGTGATGTAATAAAGTGTAATGTAATGTAATGTAGTGTAGTGTAATGTAATGTATGTAATGTGTGTAATGTTATGTAATGTAATCTAATGTAACGTAATGTAATGGAATGGAATGTAATGTAATGTATGTAATGCATGTAATGGAATGTAATGTAATGGAATGTAATGTGTGTAATGTAATGTAATCTAATCGAATGTAATGGCATGTAATGGAGTGTAATGTAATGGAATTTAATGTATGTAATGTGATGTAATGTATTGTAATGTAATTTAATGTAATCTAATCTAATGTAATATAATGTAATGTTATGTTATGTTATGTAATGTATGCAATGTATGTCATGGAATGTAATGTAATGTAATGGAACGTAATGTAATGTATGCAATGCGTGTAATGTAATGTAATGTAATGTAATGCAACCTAATCTTATCTAATGTAATCTAATCTAACGTAATGGAACGTAATGTAATGTATGTAATGCGTGTAATGTAATGTAATATAATGCAACCTAATCTTATCTAATGTAATCTTGGAGTGTAATGTAATGGGATGTAATGTAATGTAATGTAATGGGATGTAATGGTTGTAAGTGTAATGAAATGTAATGTATTGTAATGTAATCTAATCTAATCTAATCTAATGTAATGTATGTTTTGTAATGTAATGTAATGTATGTAATGTAGTGTAATGTAGTGTAGTGTAATGTAATGTAACACAATGTAATGTAATGTAATGTAATGAATGTAATGTATGTAATGTATGTAATGTAATGTAATGTGTGCAATGTATTGTATTGTATGTATTGTATGTAACGTATGTAATGCTTGTAATGTATATAATGTATGTAATGTATGTATTGTATGTAATGTATGTACGTATGTGATGTATGTAATGTATGTAATGTTTGCAATGGTATGTATGTATGTTTGTATGTTTGTATGTTTGTAATGTATGCAATGGTATGTCTGGATTTTTTTATATATGTATGTATGTATGTATGTATGTATGTATGTATATATGTATGTATGTATGTATGTATGTATGTAATGTATGTAATGTATGTATGTATGTATGTATGTATGTATGTATGTATCTTTTTGTATGTATGTATGTATGTATGTAATGAATGTATGTATGTATGTATGTATGTGTGTGTTTATGTATGTATGTATGAATGAATGAATGAATGAATGAATGAATGAATGTAATGTAGTGTAGTGTAATGTAATGTAATGTAATGTAATGTATGTAATGTAATGTAACGTAACGTAATGTAATGTATGTATGTATGTATGTATCTATGTGTGTGTAGTGTATGTATGTGTGTGTATGTATGGTAAGGTATGGTGTGGTATCGTGTGGTGTGGTATGGTATGTATGTATGTATGTAAGGTATGTTTGCTGTTTTGTATGGTATGTTTGTTGGTATGTTTGGTATGTATGGTATGTATGCTGGTATGTATGGTATGTATGTAATTTATGACATGTATGGTATGTATGTAATGTATGTAAAGTATGTAATGTATTTAATCTGAGTAGTGTATGCAATGTATGCCATGTATGTAATGTTTGTATTTTAATGTATGTATTGTAATGTATTTATTGAAATGTGTGCTTGTATTGGATTGCATGTATTTCATGTATGTATTGTAATGTTTGTATTGTAATGTATGTATTGTTATGTATGTATTGCACTGTGTGTATTGTAATGTGTGTATTGTAATGTATGTATTGTACTGTGTGTATTGTAATGTGTGTATTGTAATGTATGTATTGTAATGTATGTATTGTAACGTATGCATTGCAGTGTATGCATTGTAATGTACGCATTGTAATGTATGCATTGTAATGTATTCAATGTAATGTATGCATTGTAATGAATGCATTGTAACGTATGCATTGTAATGTTTGCATTGTAATGTTTGCATTGTAATGTTTGCATTGTAATGTACGCATTTCAATGTATGCATTGCAATGTATGCATTGTAATGTATGCAATGTAACTTATGCATTGCAATGTATGCATTGTAATGTATGCATTGTAATGTATGCGTTGTAATGTTTGCATTGTAATGTATGTTTTGTAATGTATGTATTGTAATGTGTGTATTGTAATGTCTGTATTGTAATGTATGTCTTGGAATGTATGTATTTCAATGTTTGTATTGTAATGTATATATTGTAATGGAAATGTAATCGTAATGTAGTGGTAATGTAGTGGTAATGTAATGGTAATGCAATGTTCATGTAATGTGCATGTAATGTTGTGTAATGTTTTGTATTGTTATGTATTGTTCTGTGTTGTTATGTATTGTCTTGTATTGGTATACATTGGTATGTACTGTTATGTATTGTTATGTGCTGTTATGTATTGCCATGTACTGTTTTGTACTGTTAGGTACTGTTTTCTATTTTTGTTTGTATGTATGTATGTATGTATGTATGCATGTATTAATGTATGTTATGTATGTTGTGTGTGTTGTGTATGGTATGTATGTAATGTATGCTATGTATGTTATGCTTGTTTTGTTTGTTATGTATGTAATGTATGTACTGTATGTTGTGTTTGCAATGTATGTAATAAATGTCATGTATGTAAAGTATGTAATGTATGTGATGTATGTAATGGTTTGTATGCTGTGTATGTTTTGTATGTGCTGTATGTTACGTATGTAATGTATGTAATGTATGTAATGCAATGTAATGTAATGTAATGTAATGTAATATAATGTAATGTAATGTAATGTAATGTATGTACTGTAATGTCATGTAATGTAGTGGTATGTATTGGAGTGGTATGTAATGGAGTGTAATGCAATGAAATGTAAAGTATGTACTGTATGTAATGTGTTGTAATGTTATGTAATCTAATCTAATCTAATCTAATCTAATGTATCGTGTTGTAATGTAATGTAATAATGTGTAATGTAATGATGTAATGTAATGTAATGTAATGTAATGTATGTAACGTTTGTAGCGTGTGTAATGCACTGCAATGTATGTCATGTATGTAATGTATGTATTGTAATGTAGGTATTGTAATGTACATATTATGTATGTACGTATGTACGTACGTATGTGTGTACGTATGTATGTATGTATGTATGTACGTATGTATGTACTTATGTATGTACGTATGTACGTATGTATGTGCGTATGTATGTGCGTATATACGTATGTACGTATGTTATGTGTGTACGTATGTATGTATGTATGTAGGTACGTATGTATGTATGTATGTGGGATGTATTAATGTATGTATGTATGTATGTATGTATGTATGTATGTGTGTATGTATGTAATGTAATGTAATGTAATGTAATGTAATGTAATGTAATGTAATGTAATGTAATGTAATGTATGTATGTATGTATGCATGCATGCATGCATGTATGTATGTATGTATGTATGTATGTATATATGTATGTATGTATGTATGTATTGTAATGTATTGTAATGTATGTAATGTAATGCAATGAAATGTAATGTAATGTAATTTTAATGTAATGTAATGTAATGTATGTATGCATGTGTGTGTATGTATTTATGTATGTATGTCTGTATGTATGTATTGTATGTATGTATGTATGTATGTATGTATGTATGTATGTATGCATGTATGTATTTATGTATGTATGTATGTATGTATGTAATTTATGTTTGTCTGTTTGTTTGTCTGTTTGTTTGTCTGTCTGTCTGTATTTATGTATGTATCTATGTAGGTTTGGTATGTAGGCGCTTTTGCTTCGGTTGAATTGGATCCTCAATTCAGCATATCTAATTACGAATCCAATGATGCCGAATTACCTCCGGAATGGAACCGAATCAAAAGATGTGACCCAATCGATGTATGTATGTATGTATGTACGTATGCATGTATGTATGTATGCATGTATGGATGTATGTATGTACGTATTTTTTGGTGGGAAAAGCTCCTGTATGATTGGCTCTCCCTTCCCCCCTGGTCACAGTTGAAGGCTCAGATGGGGCTTGTAATGCATTTACCAGTTTCAGACCCCCAGAAGGGACAAATTTGGTATGTAGGTATGCAGGTATGCAGGTATGTATGTATGTATGCATGCATGCATGTATGTATGTATGTATCTGTGTATCTATGTATCTCTGTATCTATGTTTCTATGTATCTATGTATCTATGTATCTATGTAATGTAGGTTTGGTATGTAGGCGTTTTTAATTCGGGTGAATTGGAACCGCAATTCGGCATATCTAAGTACGATTCCAATACTACCGAATTACGTCCGGAATGGAACAGAATCAAAAGATGTGACCCAATCAATGTATGCATGTATGTATGTAAGTTTTTGTTGGAAAATTTCCTGTATGATTGGCTCTCCCTTTTCCCTGGTCACAGTTGAAGGCTCAGATGGGGTTTGCAATGTATGTATGTTTGTGTATATCTATATATATATGTATATTTGTGTATATTATATACAAATATATTTGTGTATATATTTTTTTATATATGTATATATGTGTATGTATATGTTTATATATGTGTATGTTTTGTGTGTAATGTATATGTTTGTATATTTGTGTATGTGTGGAATGTATATGTATATATGTAAATATGTGTATGTATATGTATGTATATGTATGTATGTGTCTGTGTATGTATATATATATGTGTGAAAACAAATTAATTGCGGGGAAGCTTTACATTATTGCGGGGGGGTGCACCCCCCTTATTCATCCGAAAGTACGATTATTTTGATTGCTGGATCGGATCCTTTTTGTACAAAGCAGACAGTAAGCGCCAGGATCATTGGTGGAATGGGTTTGAAGGAGTCCAGAGAATCTTGGCACGCGCAATTTCCGTCAGAGCCTGGCAGCGGCCATGCAGTGTGCAAAAGGGTAAAGTCAGACAAGCCATGCAGTAATAGCCGCAAGAACAGAGTATTCTTGTCAAGAAAACTTACAAAAATATAGATTGCACTATAAATAATGATGAACGCATGCAGGGCAATGCAAAGTGCCTAACATCCAAGCTGAAACCTTTCGAGGCCAAAGCCGAAGTGACATCACACAACGCTAGGACTGGGAAGAAGAAGAAGAAGTCTGTCAAGCTTCTCCATGTCAGTGTTTTCGGTGGAAGACTTTTGGTACCGGCATGCTGTCCGGCATGTATCTAGGCGGCACATCCAAGAATAAAAGGCACCTGGTTTTTTTTGAATCTCTCAAGCTGTAAGTCCCGCGCCGGCGCGGTTTGCTTCATGGTTTGAACCATGCGGCTGTCTTGCGCGCCGCTTGACCTAGCGCCATCTGATACAGTGCAATTTTGTTCTTGCAGGATTTTGTCCCGATTTCTCCCTGTTGAGGCACCCTGACTCACTTCTGCTGTGCTTGCCGGCACTGACGATGCCAACAAAGGTTGTAACCTCAGCAGAATCATTTTCACGAGAGATGAGCTGCTAAGGCGTGACGTCTGTACAGGAACACCTATCAAAGGTTATTAGTTAAGTTTGAATTGACACAAGATACATCAAACCATGTGAATAAATACATGAAAACAACACTTTCTCTAGCCTTGAACTTGCTTGGCTTAGATGGCTGGACTTATCTTCCTGACTTCGTTTGGAGCTGGTTCCATGCTGGCCATGGGTGGCTTCACAGCGGCTTTGCGAGCGGCTTGCAAATCCCTAGGCTCTATGGGGCATTCCATGCACTTCAAACCAGTTTTCATCTCGAGAAGCGCGTGTTATATAATTATTTTGTTGTTTTGTGTCCTGGAAGGGATTAGAAACTCTAACTCGGGGTTTGCTTGACCTTGTTTACTTTCTTGGCTTCCTGCGGTAAGAACATGCCTGACCCGGGAAGGTCAACAAGCTGTACGGCGCACCTCCATTGTAGCATCTCTTCTGGCGTTGCTGTTGGGAGCAACAATTTGTGCAACAAGTCTGACTGTTCTCTAAGGCTCCAAGGCCATCAAATCGATGTACTTGAAGCTGACTCAATCAACAAAGCCGGATCAAGATGATTCCGACAGTTCCATATTCGACTCATGTCGATTCCATTGATTAGCTGGAAGCTGTGCATCACTTAGTGTTGGAATGAGCGAAGTTTCCTCATATTCCCATATGTAGATGATAGCTAATAACAGAATGGGTAGGAAGACGCAGCAGCTTTTCAATTGAGCTGATCGGAGCCAAAAACGCAAGGGAGGCAGAGGAAATCAGAGGAAATCTAGTTCCCTCCGCGATCCAAAGTGGTCAAACTGTTTTGGGCTGGGCTCCTGCCACAGGTCTTCTTGCCAGAGAAGACCGGGGCGAAGAAATTGTAATAGATTTGTAAAAGCACGCTACGTGGCCATGCGCGGGATCTTCCAGAAACCAGGATTGCCGAAAGACGAGGCCTTTGCTTGTTTATGAGTTTTCGATTGCTTGTATGATTGTATTTGCAGGCCACCTGAACTGGCTCGCACCAAAGTTTTGTGCTCATTTGTGCCCGCCTGACATTGTTGTACAGCTGGTTGCTATGCGCGATGCCTTGGAAGCAAGCCACCAGTTGGTCACCAGTTTGTGCTCGGCGCCACAAAAAGTACACATGTTGGAGCGGTCGTGTGAGTGTGTGTGTGTGTGCGCGTGTGAGATTTCCAATCCCGCATCTCCAATCAGATACAAGGAATCCATGACAACATATGGTTTGTGGGTATGGGTTTGTTTACGTGTGCTGGTGTTTTCGCAGTAGCGCGTTTGTACCTTGTTTATTTTTTTCGTTTGTTCGGCCAAGCAGAGCTATGACTGACTACCACAATTTGTGCAGCCTTAGATGTCTCGGCCGGAAATCCACAATGATAATCCTGATATAAGATTTGTATTGTCATGGGACCAGCGCTTCAGACAGAAGGGGCTGTTGACGTTGCATTTTCAAGGCTTGTGCGATGGTACAAGCATGGGTTCTTCAGCTGGACGAATGCGCCAAGGTGGGCACTGGGTGCAAAAAATACCGGTTATATAATATATTATTTTTGCCCGTGAAGGGAATCTGATAGTCCGGTAAGCCATGACATAGCACGGACTTGCTTTTTTTGTTTTGTTCTCTGCGGTGGGTCCCACTTGTCAACACTCCAGCCCAGGTGCGACCATTGTCATTCAACAAACACTAAAATCATTGGCGGTGCCAAGCCCACTCCAGAGGAGACTATGGATCTCCCAAGATGCTTTTGGGTTTCCGCAGCTTCATTTTGAACCTTTGGCAGCTTTAGCGTTTTTTGCTTGTCCGTTCCTAGCATGGCTGCGCCTGGCTTTGCATGGCTACAGGAGGAGTACTTCCTCGCCCATCAAGTTGAAGTAGCGCAATGCTCCTCTTGTGGTCAACAGACGCGTTTTCCACGAGCCTTGGGGGCAAAAAACACAAGAAGCATTGGTGCTGTATTTGCTTTACGTGCTGCATGACTTCGAGACGCTTCCCTCCGTGTTGCCTTGAGGCTACAACGATCCAGCCAAATTGTTGGAGACTCGCACTGGCCGGTGTGGTGAATGGGCCAACTGCTTCACTCTCATTTGTCGCTCTCTCGGCTTCTTGGTGGTTCACTGGTGCGGGAGGGCTTCCGATCATGCCATGAAATATTGTTGGAATCGAGTTTGACATGAAAGATGCGCAAGATAATTAGAGCTGCAGTTCCGGCCATTGTGAGGGGATAATTCTCTTTGAAGTTTGCTGGCTGTTTGCGCAGCAGGCTACGAGGCCCGTCATGTTCACGATTGGACCGACCACGTTTGGACTGAAATCTTTTCCGATTCCGCACAGCGATGGATTCATGTGGATTCCTGCGAAGCTGCTGTCGACTCGCCTTTGATGTATGAGAGTCTTGGTTTAAAAAAAGCAGGCCGCCAACAGCAGCAGCGTGTAGAATTACCGAAACAAGCAACAGCAAGGACCATACTGGATCCATGGCTTAATTCCACCATTGCTCTTTTGGGGGCGGCGCCCGTACTCACGTCAAGCATAGAATTTTCGCAACTTCTCACGTTACCACAACCTGCCATGGTACAACATGACACACAAATGATACCCGAATTGGGCGGGGCGGGAGTTTCATAGATGGGAACTGGCTATAGCGACAGAGGCTATAGGCGGAAGCCCTGTCATGTCGTCACTGTCAACTTGATTGAGAAAAAAGTGATAAGCGTTGAGCGAGCAGGATGATATGACATGAGCGAAGGCATGCATGAAATTCAATGAAACCAAATGGAATGAGATGGAATGAAAAGAAATGAGGCGCATGAAATGATAACAACACGGAAATGAAGGAATCCAACGGGATACATGAAAAAATGACGTAAGACGCAAAAGGAAGCCACAGCAAATGAGACGAGATGAGATGAACTGAATTGAGATAAAATGAAAGAAAACGAAGTTACATGAAACAAAATAAGAGACAATAAAGGAAACGCAAGCCAAAAGAACAGAAACGCAAGGAAATACTGGATGACATGAAACGAAATGACATGACATGAACGGGAAGGAAATGAAATGAAATGAATGAGATGAGATGAGATGAAATGAAATGAAATGAAAGGAAGAGGGAAAAGAAAAGGGAAAGAAAGAAATTGAAGGAAACGAATTGAAAGGAACTTAGCAAAATGAGATGACATGAAATGAAACGAAATGAATGGATGAATGAATGAACGAGCGAACGAACGAATCAAATTACATCAAATGAAGTCAAATGAATGAAACGAATGAGATGAATGAAATGAATGAGATGAATGAAATGAAGCGAAATGAAACGAAATGAAATGAAATCAAACGAAATCAAATGAAATCAAATGAAATCAAATGAAATCAAATGAAATGAATTGAAATGAATGACATGAAATGAAATGAAGCGAAATGAAATCAAATCAAACAAAATCAAATGAAATTAAATGAAATCAAATGAAATGGAATTGAAATGAATGAATGACATGAATGAATGACATGAAATGAATGACATGAATGGATGACATGAATTCGTGAAATGAATGAAATGAGATGTAATGCAATGAAATGAATGAATGAATGAATGGATAAGTGAAACGAAATGAAACGAAGTGAAATGAAATGAAACTGGATTGACTTGACATGAAGTGCATGTAGGGCGCGCTTTAATTACGAAATTGATTCTCTACGGACGAAAGAAGTATTTTAATGTTTTTTAAATCATGCAAAATCTATAGGAAACCCTTTGTCTTGGGCTATCTTGAACTTCAAACACCATGGTTTCCGTCGATACTCGATGATGCAGCCACTGCAAACATTGCCGGAATTATTTTTGCGCCTTGCTTTCATATGTTTGGTTTCAAGTGTCTTTTCCGCAAGTAGAGTCCGATTTCTTTCGCAATTAGGAGCGTTTTTCGCAAATCAATTAGTTAACCAAGTTTTTCCGCAATGCAAACGTACTCTGGCGTGCATGATTGAAATGACGTGACATGAAATGAAATAAAAGGAAAGAACAGAAACGAAATGCAACGCAATGACATGAAATGAAATGAACGACATGAGATGAAATGAAATGAAAAATAAAACGGCTGGAAATGAAATGAAAGGAAGGGAAATGAGCAATGCAAGACATGAATGAATGAAAGAAAAGGCAAGGAAAGGAACATGCAGATGGAAACAGATGTGGCGCGACATGAAACCACAACGAACTGAAGGCAAATGAAATGGGAAGAAAACTATATAAACTGATTTGAAATGACAATGAAAAAGAACGAAAATAAAATGAAAAGAAAAGAAATTAAACGAATTTGCGTGAGTTCAATCACTGACTGGCGCTGACATGACTACAACTGACTTGAACTCGAGTAGGCTGAACTGAAGTGTTGACTTGCATTGATGGCTTGAATGAATTACAAAAAACGCGTTGCAGTCCCAAAGGTCGCTTCGTATTTATGGCCAAAACAACCCCGTTGCCGGTTGCCTGCTGGCCGCGCAAACGCGCACGCACCCACGCCCCTTGCTCTGATTGTCAGTGTGCACGCCATGTGCTTGTGAACATGCAAATGCATATGTGCTTTCGTGCCAGAATTTTGGTTTAATCCAAAATTTGAAAAGAATTGAAAACCGGCCACCCCCTCCTGAAATTTGGGGATGAGGGTCTTTCCAGTTTGGGCTTTTGTGGTGGCTACAGACAGTGGTGAGGCAGATTTTGTGTCGGACAGCTGCCCAACCATCACTGTAAAGCTGTGATCAGGGACTTCCGCGAGGGAATGCGCTTGGAAAGCGGTATGTTACGTCCGCACGGTGCCTGAAACATGTCAAGGGACCACGCGAAGGATTGACCGAATGATTGGAGTGACCGGTAGATGAATGAAGGAATCAGAGAAAGAATTGTCAAATTTAGTGAATCAAAAAGTGCCGGGCAAGGCATGCTGATGTATTCCGACTTCATTTTCAGCTGCTGGTGATCTACTGTCCGTCCTACTGAATTACTATCTCTTTCTCCTTTCGGTCATTTCTATCTGCTGACTCGGAGTGTGATCTAATGTTTTCATACCTGCTGATTCCACCTGGTGCTGCTGCCTATGTGGTTGACACAGCCGCCCCAATGCGATTTGCAACCAAGCATTGCCCAACACTATAGAACTTTGCTGCAACCCCGCAACCCGCCACAAGCACCAAATACAGGGAATACAACATGTGGCGCTCCCACTTTCACTTTGCCAGATCTGCAACAAGCAGAATGTTCCCGCAGCCGCTCCAATGCGATCAGCAGCCAAACATTGCCCAAGACGATGTAGCTCGGATGCAACCCTGGCAAACCCCTACACAGCGCGAGTTTTTCGAGATAAGCCGATCAAATACGCAAGCGCAACATCAACAACCCTTGCAGCAATCTGCCACAAGCACTACATAGTAAAAAATACAGAACTTGGCGCTCGCAATACCCGTTTACTGTACCAGATGTGCAATAACAACAACCTTCCCACGGCCACTCCAATGTGATCTGCAACCCATGCATTGCCCAACGCAACAGACCTAGGTTGCAAACCCGACAAACCCATATGGCGGACAGCTGAAGCTTAGAATGCGTGACAGCTTTTATATTTTGCGGGTTAGAGTTAGAATGCCGAAAGGAAGCCGCTGAGCGATGAACTTAGAGTGCACAACCAGTGACGCATCCAAAGCCTAAGCTTCAATCCAACTAATTACCCCAAAAGCCCGGTAAATGTTCATCCAAAACGTCTCTTGGGGATGATTTTCACGCAGCAATTTGGACTTTGACGCCTGGTAGTAGATTTCCCGCGCGTGAAGTTTGCTTCTCCCCCAAGAAGAACCCCCGACACGCCTCAGCGTCAGCACGCATCCAAGACAAAAGAGGGAGAGACCACCGAGGAAACAGAGCAGTCTGATTTGTCGCGGCATCTTTTTTGCCAGCAAAATCATGCAACGCAGCTGTTCCTTTTATCGAAGCCGCTGATGTGTTGTCAGAGATTCGTCGGGCTTCCAGGACAGGATGGGGCAAGAAGCTGACGTATTGCATTGGCTTTGCTCGGGACCATGTTGTGGATGTGACGAGAAGATACACCAAGAAGTTTGAGAAGGCGTGGGACACGCAAGGCATGTTCACAAAGCGAACCATCAGAATCAGCTGTGTACTTGCATCCTTGTACACCTGAACATTCCACATGGCATTCGTTGCAGGAACTGCTTCCGCGTCGAACGGCGTGTAAAGAAGAGGTTTGTCGTTCAGTGGTTCAGATGTCCTTGCTGCACGCCACGCACATTCTGTTGCTCACGACAAGGATTAGATTTTACCGAAGGAAGTTCAGAAGTCAAACTTCCGACATGGACAGACGCAGCAACAGTTGCGAGAACAGTCCGAGAAGCGAAAGAGTCAGAGAAGAGAGGGTCAGTGGAAAGAAGATCCGACAAGAGAAAGAGTCAGAGAAAGAAATAAGATCAAAGCGCGCGAGAAGGTAGAAAAGTCCCAAAACACTGTCTTTTTCCAATGTTTTGTGGCTCCGGAGGGTCGAGCAGTATAGGCTTGCTAACACGGCAAGTGCAGAGCTATCTGGTCGGATGGGGGATCATAAAACGCACGCGGCTGTGGCGCGAAGAAAATTTCAAAGTCAAAACGGAGCACTCTTGGAAGTGCTGCGGCGCGAAGCACATGCCGAAGACAAAATGCCAAGAACATCACATGTTCAGAGCACTTTCGGACGTTGGGTCTTCATGTTTCGTGGCAGGCGCAATGGATTGTGTACCTTGCCAAAAGTGAACAAAACCTGGGGGTCTCGTGGCAGTTGCGCGATGGCACGCTTCTTGGGAGAATGTCAATGGGGGTACGTTCACCAGAGATGTTAGGACTGTTAGGAGGTCAGGGCGTTGATTTCCAGGATTCCAAAGGGGTTGCACTTCGGAGCGTCCGATCTTCAGGTTTGCGAAGGTCATTTTGCGTGGCAGGTGCAGCACTTTCACTTTTTCGTGGCAGGCGCGGTACTTTAGACAGATGGGGCATAAAAATCGCAAGACGCATGGGCACGAGGCCGTCAGCTCTGCACTCAGCGTTCCAGTTTTGAAGGAAGTCTCGCAGAATTGCTTCGTTTTCGACGTTGCCAATTCGAAAATTGAGAAAGCCTCGCAGAATTTCTTCGTTTTGGGGCTCAGAACTTCTCTTTTTGAGGAAGTCTTGCAGAAATGCTTCCTTTTGGACTTGTCAACTTCCGCTTTTGAAGCGGGCCGCGCATAACTGCTTCCCTCCAGATAGAAAGATAGATAGAAAGATTCATAGATAGTTACCGAAAGAGATAGAGAGAGAGAGAGAAGGAGGGAGATGGAGATCGAGATGGAGATAGAGAGAGCAAGAAAGAGGAAAAAGAGAAAGAGAGAGAGAGAGAGCGCGAGGGAGAGATAGAGCAAGAGCGCGATAGAAAGAGATAGAGAGAGATAGCGGGAGATATAGAGAGAGATAGAGAGGGATAGAGAGAGATAGAGAGGGAGGGAGTGAGAGTAATAGAGCACCAGGAAGGAGACAGAGAGAGAGAGAGAGAGATATATATATATATAGAGCCAGAGAAAAAATCGATACAGAGCTTGGAAGAGATTGACAGAGATAAATGGACAGAGAACTAGATAGTTGGATAGATAGATTAGATAGATAAGATAGATACATAGGTAGATTAGATTAGTTTAGATTAGACTAGATAGATTAGATAGATGAGATAGATATGATAGATTCAAAAGATAGATGGAAGGAAGGACGGACGGATGGATAGATAGGTAGGTAGATAAATAGATAGCCAGATAGGTAGATAGATAGATAGACAGATAGACAGAGAGAGAGAGAAAGAGATAGAGAGAGAGAGATAGATAGATAGATAGGTAGATAGATAGATAGATAGGTGGGTGGGTAGGTAGGTAGGTAGGCAGGTAGATACATGGATAGATAGATCGATAGAAAGAAAGATAGATACATAGATAGATAGCTTGATAGTAGCATCGATAGATTGATAGGTCGACAGATGGAGCGATCCATAGATCGATAGATAAGATACATACATACATACATACATACAGACATACAGACATACAGACATACAGACATACAGACATACAGACATACAGACATACAGACATACAGACGTACAGACATACAGACATACAGACATACAGACATACAGACATAAAGACATACAGACATAAAGACATACATGCATACATGCATACATGCATACATGCACAACATACATACATGCATACATGCACAACATACATACATACATACATACATACGTACATACATACATACATACATATAGATAGATAGAAAGATAGATAGGTGCATAGATAGATCGATCGATAGATCGATAGAGTGACAGATAAGATAGATATAGATAGACAGATGGAAAGAAAGATAGAAAGATACATAGGTAGATAGATCGATAGACCGATAGATAAGACAGATAAGATTGATAAGATAGATAAGATAGATAAGGTAGATACGATAGATATAGATACATTTATTTAGATGTAGATAAATATACATAGATATAGATAGATACGGATAGATATGGCTAGATATAGATAGATATAGACAGATTTAGATAGATTTTGGTAGATATAGACAGATTGAGATAGATATAGATAGATTTAGAATGATTTAAGAGAGAGAGGGTGAGAGGGGAACCAGACTCAG